AGCCACACCTCACTGGCCTCCCGTACGACTTGAAGATAACTTACTTCTGGCACTCTGTGCATGGCTTAACTCAGAAAACAAACACACAGGCCTTACCCCAGGGTCTCGCATGTCGTATGAGCTTCATTATGGGCAGTTTCCAAGAGTGGAGTGATTTCTAACAAGATGGATGCTCAGAAGGAACAAAGTCCTCAGAAAGAGCATCATTTCAGCGCAGATACTCATCCATCCTAAGGTACCAAGCAGGATTGGAGGAGTTCCAGTGTGTCTCTGTCTATCCAGACCTGCACACACGTGGACGAATGTACTGTATTTACACATCACCAATACACGTAATCACAGAAAGAATTACTGACATCTGTGCGTAAATAGGCTGTATATGCCGTTTGTGCATTTCTGTACACGTCTCACACTGGTTGCTCTCGGTCTCTATCACTTTCTTACCTGTGCTCCTTGAAACCCAAACATATCTGGCCTTTCCCAATTCTGCCCATCACCTCCTGCCTCCCCCTAAAATCATCTTACAGGTTTTGTGCCGAAAGTTTCTCATCCCAGGAGGCACCGGTGATCTGGGCTCAGGCTGGTTCCTTGTGTGCAGCCCCTCTTGGGCCCTTTCCTTTGTCCCGTCTCCCACAGAGCAGCCAGGGTCCGCCTGCACACGTGCTACTATGGCCCCCTCCCTGCCGGGCGGTGCGTGTGTGCGCCCCCCTGCCCTGGCTCCTGTCTGCGCCTCCTGCCCCCGCGCGCCGTGGGCTTGTTCCCCGGGATGCCACGGGGCCTCGCCCTGTCTCGCCGTCACCTTCCCCACGTGCACTGATTAGCCACAGAGCCCAGCTCAGGCCGGCCCCGCGGGGAATGCCCTGCAAGTGCTCGTGTCACTGGTGCTGATGCCCTCCCGAACCCGGTCACTGTTCCAAGGTCCCTGGGCTCCTGACCATCCACCTCCAGGGTGCTCAGAACCTGGGGCCACCCCACAAGCATCCCTTGAATGAATCAGTGAAAGGCAGCTTTGGGGGGAAAACAATCTTTGTATGGCTTGATTTCTTTGGATGTGGGCACAATTTACAACTGACAAAAGGGCCATAATTTAGAACAATCTATCCTAAAAGGTTAGTAACTTATTTAATTGTCATGGAGGTTTCTCTCCTTGTCTCTTTCTTTACTGAAACCCCACTGGGAAGAGGGGCTCTGTGACTTCAGCGCCCACAACCACCGACTCCACATGAGGCACACAACGCGGATTAAAAATGTGTTGATAGATAGATTTTGGCACTCTGGGAAATTTCCTACAATGATTTTGATGAGTCAATATAATTAGTGAATGTGAGCAACAAATCCAATCATTTCTAAATTCTTCTAGGCTTAGAAGCTTCCTAATTCCCATTGTTTAAAAAAACATTCAGCTTTATAGTCATCTCAAAGAAGATTAGCATGCTACGGAGTAACTCCCTGCACTTACTAAGTACATGAGATGAAATATCTTCCTTTTGTCCTTTTTTAAAGTTTCTTTTGATTTTGAACGTGAAAGTGTATGTGCAGGAAAGATGATGGATGACTTCATGCCAGGAGTCTTGATCCTGAAGTTTTATCTATACAATTTCCTTCATAATTTCCTGAAACTTTAAAAACGAGTATTTCCCTCAACATTCCAGTTACGTCTGTTATGATGAAGGACAGGAAGTTAATGACTGATCTGTTCTGGGCTGGTCGGGGTCAGAGACCGTAAAGGTGCACGGACTCGCGGTCTCTGCGCAGTACGATGTGCTGGCGTGTTGTGGTCGCAGGAAGCAGATGATAACACATGATAATGTGCTGTCACCGAGTAGGTGTCCTGAGCCAACTCTGCCGTCAGTCAGTCACTAGGGCTTCGAACCCCCTGGGACTCGGGACCCCCGACCACACACAGCATGCTCCCCACTTGGCAAAGGTCATCTTCAATTACAGAAGTGGGTTCTTTGGAGAGCAGTTTTCTCCACATTTGCTAAGTCAAGAGATACGAGGGTGTCCCCCCTTCACCAGAAAAAAAACATTTCCTTATTTCCTTCTATTCTCACTGGTGCTTAGACAGTCCTGCTGAAAGCCTGCTGCCGGGTAACTGAGCACATCCGGGGACGTGCTTCCCATGAGCCCGCTGTCGTCCAGCCACCCCGCACACAGCTGCGGAGCTCACAGCACGGAGCCCGCCTCGGTCCCGCGGCCGTCTGGACCACGATGTCACGGAAGCACAGGTGCGCTGCACCCAGCGCTACGGGGTCTCATCCTCGGGGAAAAGCCTGCTGAAGAGTCAGTGGGAACAGAAGTAGCAGGTAATCCTGTCTGTCCTGAGAGTCCCCATCTAATTCCAGGTAGAGATGATTGAGAGAGGACAGCATACACCCCCCAAATTCATTAAAAACGGGGATTAATTTAGGTGAAAGTGATGGAGGAGAGTCAAAAGGGAAGTCGATTCCTCCAGCTCTTTCCTAAACTCAGACACGGAACAGTTTAGACATGCTCGCTGAGGCGTGGGCCACGTGCTGGCACCTGGTAGGCAGTCATGATGGATCGGCCACAAGTGTTTTGAAGGTTCAAACCATGTTAACTGTTGCCACAACCATTACAGGACAATCTTGGGAGACCCTACTGTCCATTCACATGTTCATCTATTCACCGAGAAAACGTGTGTGCTCCTCTCATGTGTCAGAGATCAGCATGGCTGCCGGAGCCACAAATGCCACAAAGCACAATCCCTGCTCTACAGGCATTTAGAGAACCGCAGAGAAAATATCGATGTCTAAACATATATGGATAACCTAGTACCGGGGCAGAAGAAAACACAGGCTGCAAAGAGAGCAGAGAGGAATCAGGGCATGACAGTCAGAAGGGTCAGTGGAATCCGTCATCGGGTGTTGGTGAGAACATGAGGGGAGAGAGACGTGATTCCGAGCAGAAAGGTCAATGGAGCAAAAGCTTAAACATGTCCCCTGCTTCCGCTGGAAACATCCTATAATTTCTAAAGTCTTTCTAGGTTACCCATAGATGAGGGTGTATCCTTATGGCTGAAACTGAATAACTTGATTGGTGAAACCTTTTAAAAATGAGAAAACATTTTAGAGGGGTGGATACAGCTTCAACTCAGTGTTTTCAGAGAAATCATTTCTAGTGTGCAAGCAATGCGACGTGCATGTCTTCCAAAGTGACTTTAAGTTCTCCCTAAGATGACTTGAAATCAGGTAAGTTATGGGTAATTTGAATTCTCCAGGCAGCCCTACTTGGACAGCCCACCTGGCCTCATCGGGCGTAAATCTCAGCTATGAAGTCTGCATGGTTAAGACTTTGCTCCATGTGAGAAAAGGTTTGGAAAGTTCTGCGACTCGGAATGTCTTCTGCCGGCAGATAGTATGCACTGCATTCTCAATGACCTAAGGAGGAAAGATTTCTGACCCCAGAACAGTATGCAAACAATGGCGATGGCAGGTACCGCCATGAGGCGTGGCCAGGAAGCACAGGTGCAACTGTGGATCTTCTTTTTTTTTTTTTTTTTTAATGTTTTATTTATTCTTGAGCGAGAGACAGAGGCAGAGCAGAAGCACGGGAAGGGCAGAGAGAGAGGGAGACACAGAATCCAAAAGCAGGCTCCAGGAGGGGCGCCTGGGTGGTTTAGTCGGTTAAGCGTCCGACTTTCGCTTAGGTCATGATCTCGCAGTTCGTGGGTTCGAGCCC